AATCGGAGAGAGGAAAAGAGGATGTTTTTGTTGAGAGAGGGAGATAGAGAGAGAGAGAGAGAGAGAGAGAGAGAGAGAGAGAGAGAGAGAGAGAGAGAGAGAGAGAGAGAGTTATAAGATTGAAATTTTTACGATGTTAATTTTATTTGTATAGTAGAAATATTTTGCTCATTTGAGAATATAAATTATCAATTAAAACCGTTAGATTAAAAGAAAATATGAGACTCAGATTTGGAGAAAATCTTTAAACCTACTTTTAAAGACAACATAATTTATCTCATATATAATCGAATTGACTCATGAATCTAACGAGACGAACTATGTATAATTCAAATTCCATTCATTTAATCAACAATTTAATTTTCAAATCAAATTTCAAATTATTTTCAAATTGATTTAGTTCATTGACAACCCTATTATTAAGTGTTTATATAATAGATGTGGTTTTCTTAAGGTGTGCCTCAAAGAATGTAGAAATTGTATGCAGAGAGTGATGTCAATATTTAATATCACCTGTAGTCCGTCTGATCGGCCGACCAAGTCGGCTTGGATTTTCGTTTTTGCCTTAAAAAACTAATTTTTTAAAAAGAAAAAAAATTCGAAATTGATATATCATCCTCTCTAAACCATCAACTTTTCTCTTCACTCTTTTTTCTACTCTTTGAATTTTCAAAACCCCTTCTTTCCTTTCTACTTGTTAAATTCTTCAAATATTTCTTTTTTGTCTTAAAAAATACTTCTCTTCTAAGAAAAAATTCCTTTAAAAAATCCAAGTTTTGAAAAAAATTCTATCACAAAAATTATCATAAGTAATCTTAATGTCATATTTGAAGTGTATTCATAATGGTATGTACATCTTAAAAACAACGACCTAATACATTACTCAACCAATAATCTATTTTGTGGTATAAAAAATGAAGAAAAATAAATCAGATTAAAATCATTGTTATATTATGAATCTAATAATTATAAACACGATTACTTTTTGATATATCTAATTTTAAGTTTGACAAAAACTCAAGTTTTGTAATTAATATTAATGTAAAAATAATTATGTAAGTTAAGATCAATGTACTCAACCCCACCACATACTAAAGTAAGTCTGGGTTGTTATTGAAAATTATGCGCTCAACAAACAAACAAAATTATTTGAATATGCTAATTAATAACGTAGCCCACAGAAACCTAACATGTGTGTTCTTTTAAGGTGGGTTAGAAATTGGTAGAAAGAAACTTTCTTCAAGTTATATAATACTAGCATAGAATTTGCATTAGAATATATTAGAATATAATAATCCTTGTCACCGAATTGATTATTCTAATAATTTAATGTATTTTAACCTTAGCTTTAATTAGTCCTTCCGAACAAACGGGGTTGAACTTTGAACAGAACAACAATAGAATGGTTCATTATTTACCAAAAAATATAAAAGTTTGTAAAAATCCATCTAAATGTTCCTTACCATAAAACAAATCATGTCCAAATAATGCTTACAATTTCAGATATGTACTGAAATTAAATATGAGCTATAATTTAAATATAAGACAGGAACTAGGAGGACTTGTATATAAACTTTGCGATCGAGTTAGATACGCATTGCAAATCGAACTTAAAGACCATAAAAACTAAGGAAAACTTCTGTAAATATATGAAACTGAGTGCAATGAAACAGCAACAGATATATAAAGAACCATTTGTAGGACCTCAAACCCAACCTATTGCTTTAAGTCGTTTTTTTGAGTTGGCATTACCATTCTGCTGTTGTTGCTGTTGAATATGAATGTTTTGTTGGGATGTAGGAGGCTGATGCTGTTGTTGGAACATCATAGGGTTGACAGAATGTTGCGGGATCATGCAGTTAGAAGGATGTGACTCCCCATTCAACTCAGCTGTAGCAATCTTCAGTCTTTGAACCTCGGCAGTAAGGGCCTCATTCAGAGCTATTTACAGGGATCAGAAAGTAATCAGCAAAAAAACAGTAGGAACTCTTATAAACATAATGAGCAATGAAAAGAAGAAATCCCATTTATGGCCAGTTTCAAAAGAAGGGAACAAGTGCATTCGAGGGAAAAACCAGATAGATGTTATAATGGCATTGGCAGTGAGTTCGAAAAAATCATGGCATTAACATGATTTTGTGAAGCTACATAGTGTAGCTTTGCCAAAATCACAGTAATTCAGCCAATCTCACCACCAATCATAACATGCAAGATATATAACTGACAGCTTAAACAGTTAAACATCAGCAACAGAATCAGCAAATCTTCCCTGCGATACTCATTTCATAACCAAAATATGTTTTTTCACATAGTGCACCAGTGTTTTTTGTATCTACTATCTAGTTAAGCTATTAATGTTATCTCTATAATTCATATAACCAATCTTCCAATGCTAAACAAAAGACTTTATCTGTACTGGAACAGCAAGAAATGAAACTTCTAACCACACTTTGTCATAGAAACTTTGGACCATGTCAAGAATCTACATTATTAAAAGCTTACGTTGTAATGTAAAAGCTCTAATTGTTTTGTTTAAAATAAAAGGCTCCTTACCTTACATTACAACAAAATCTATGCAGCTATAAGTTTTAAGCTTGTTAGTTTTGAGCCATAAACATAAAATGAGTTATACAATGTTGTATGTTTTGCTAGTCCATTAAAAAAGAGATTGAAAGAAATACCATCACGGAGTTTTGCCTGCTGTTCCATGGATTGAAGACGGAACTTCAACTCGCTATTCTGGTTAGTAAGTCCAACAGAATCTCTCTGCATTCACAACAAGGAAAGGAATAAAATCAGTAAAAAAAACTAAGCTGAAATTATCAAACTAAAACATACATTTACAAACATAAATAAATATGTTCCCACCTGCAACAGAGTAAGTTGTGCAGAGAGTGTAGTGGCTTCAGTCTGCAGAGTTTGAACCTTGTGTTCTAGCTCTGAAATGTATCGCATCTTGCGTTCCTTCGAACGCGCAGCCGATTGCCTATTAGCCAAAATCCTGAAACGACCAAAAAAAAATCAGTTTAGATTAACTATCTGTGTTAACGTTATTATATGATATGTTGAAAATTCAATTCCGTCACCTCTTAGCACGCTTGGGATCAGCCATAGCAATCTCGGCAAGCTTTTCATTCGCCATAATCTTCTTCAATTCCGGCCCACTGAACTCACCATTCCCAAACTCCAAGCTAAAAGCCGCGGCATTCCCATCCCCCGAATTCCAGGAGACATCAATCCACCAGGTGAAGGCGGAAGCTTAGAAGACTCATCATTGAAATTCAACTTCCCAATGAAACTATCCATGGACAGACTCCTATAGTGTCTTGTAGTAGGTGCAATATCACCTCCAGCACTCCTCTTCATCCCTTCCCTCCTCTGCATACTATCTCCACTCTCATTAACACTACTCTCAGCTTCATTATCACTACTATCACCACCATTCGTCTTCGTTCCACTCGCTCTACTATCCAAAATCATCACGATTATCATTAACAGGCGCGTTGGCGTTCTTGTCATCGTTCCCGGCCGAGTTAATTGCATCAATGTTATCCAAATTCATATAAGCAGAGAAAAGATCATCCACAACCTCACCTTCCGGAGATAACGATTTCTTCTCTTCTACACTATTATTATTACTATCAACATTTCTCTCCCAACCTGTTTCTCTTTTCACCGCTATCTGATTAGGTTTCGCAGTTTCTCTTCCTCGGAGAGGAATCAACGGCGGCGAAGACTGCAAAACAGTAGAAAAACCCAAACGGAATATCACTATTAGACCGGCGGTGCGATTTCCGCGGCGGCAAGGAAGGGTTTCTAGCAAACGGCGGTAAGCTGACGTCACGATCTTCCATAGACACGTCAGCATGTTCCGAGAGCGACGTGGACGAAGAATCGCGAAACGGACAAGGACTAAGAGGCGGAAGAGAATCGAGAGAGAAAAACGACGGCTGAGAGAGTGATCGAGTGTGGGAAGGTGTAGGACTAGTGTTATGGGGAGGCATTATCGGCCGTGAAACCGGGATCTGAGAGTAAGGCGAAAGAGGTGGGATCTGGTGCGGGTGAGACGGTGGTATACCCACTCTCTTGTTACTTCCATCTTGAAAATGATGCTGCTGTTGATGGTGCTGATTTTTTCGCATTTGTGATTGATTAAACTGAGATATACTTAACTGTTCCATGAGATTGTTCGGTTTCATAAACAAAGACAAAATGGTGAAAAACAAAGAACCCAAATGATTAATACTGATGACACTTTCTTGTTTGACGGAAATGCCGAAGATGCAGGCGCTTATCTCGCTACAAGATTCACTCTATTGACAATGAACTTGAGAAGAGAAGAAAAACAATACTCACACACAAACTCACAAACAGTGTCTTTTTTTTTTCTCTCTCTCTCTCTCTACTTTCTCGAAGATGAGTATTAGTAGTACTACACGGATTTCATGAGTTGATGAGTAATACGCGTGAATTTAATAAGAATTTCATTTCACTGTAATTTGAATTTCGTTTGAATTTCAATTTCATTCCGACCTCATTTGTTTTGCCATACGGCAGGTTTTTTTTTCTTCCCTTGTCCCCCGCAGTTTATGTAACAATCTTTACCAAAAAATAAATTTATTTTGTTTTTTATTTTGTTTTTAAATAATGTTTGTCTTTTTCCTTAATTTAATGTTACTTTTTCACGCGTTCGTTAAATATAGTATTTAAGGGAATCGCCCGCTGTATTTTTTTATTTCCTTTATTAGTACTTGTATTTTTTATTTTCTGTGGGCTAATTTCTATTTTCTAGTAAAAGAATTTGTTATTTTATATATACAAAAAAATATGAGGAAATTATTATAACTAAATTAAGATAGTAAAAATTTTAAAAATCAAGAACAGTCAAAAGTAATTTTATATTTATCATTGTCTAAAATTGTCCGTGCAAAAATATATTGATTTGAAATTTTCCTTTTTCACACTATTAGACTAAATCATTTGAGTTTCATTAATATTTTGTTTACAGAAAGGAATAAAATCTCATTGTATCTCTTTTACACTATGCTTTATTATTTTGAAATTTTATTACCATTTATGTGTATTTTTTTTTAGAATTCTTGTTGCTTTTTAATTTTTCCAAAATAATCTATTAAAGATTTCAAATTTGAATGGGTGGGGATAAAGGTTTGTTCAGATTCTTGTTCTTGTGATTCTCTCTGATCTACTAAATTACTTTTAATGTTGACATAACTAGTTGCAAATAACAAAAGCTTTGTAAGAAGAACATCAAAATTCAAGGTAGGTAAGGATTCTCTACTTTTAATTCTTAAGCTTTGATGACTTTTTTTTCTTTTTCCTAATTTATCATTTTCTTTCGTCCTAATAATTTTTTTATATAAACTTAAAATATTTGGATATCAGTCACTAAGAATTTGAATGCAATTGGCATAAGTCTGTTAACATTTTTTATGTCACGATTTTTTAAAGAGAAATTGTTTTCCTGATGTAGAAAATACTTACCGTTTGTTGCAAGTAAAATAATTTTACTAATCAAAGAGAATAAATTATTTTATAAAATTTGAAATGTGTACATTCCCAAAAAAATGCATAGAAGGTTTAAGTATAATGGTTGAATTTTTCAGATAATTTTTTTCTTAAGCAACTTGCTCTCTAATAGGCTTCGTATTTGGAGATTTTGTATTATCTCAGAAAACTATGAGATCGGGTTACTCGGCCATGGTCAAAGATAAAATAGTCCTCAGAGCTAGCGAGCTAAAGGTCGGTCCATGTAAATTGTTAGCAAACAAATATTTATGGATCATTATTAGATGACATCAACTCATCTAAAAGTGTTCTGAAGTGCACTAATTATCATATGGATCATATCAACGACATGAATATTCATTATGGTGAATAATGATAATTAAGACCATTGTTTGGGACTCATTCACCAAAGAACAAGTAGAAAAGGAGCGTTCGATCGAGGAAGAAGGTAAACTCAATTCATAGAGAAAAGTAATACATTGTGACTCTTTCTGACTTGTATTAGAAGAGTTATCAATTAGTGTTCTTGCGTGAACAGTGTTGAAGGGATTATTGGATAGGTGAAAATTGGTGTGAATTTGTTTGGGTTGTTTACGATAAGAGATGATGATTCAGAAATGATGAGATTTGATTTTGATCTGGTGCACATTTTCTTGGGCATTTCGATACAAGTAAGTTAATCTCTTTCTCGAAACCTAAGGCTCATGATACTATTTGTTGGAGGAGTTTTTCACTATGGAGCATTGATACTAAATGTAGGACTAGACACCTTTGTGAGAGACACAACACTTGTCCACCTAAAAACCTTAAGATTTTAAGTGGATAAGTGGCGTGTCTCTCACAAAGGTGCATAATCCTCAACTTTGTATCAATACTCCTAGTAAATCCTCCCAACAAATCCCTTTACTTCTTTCTAGAGGTTATTTTAGTTGTGGTTGTTTCTGTAGGAGCATTGTTTTGTTGTTTTATTTTTGTTTTCATATCAGTTTTGGTACTTTTGATATCTACTGTTGTACTTTAACTTCGAATGTAAATTATTGAGTTGCTTTCATTTTTGTATAATTTTTCTAATACTTAAAATAACATATGTCTCAATTCCATAAAAAAATTGAAACCTCATATATACTTTATAATTATTGTTATATATATATATATATATATATATATATATATATATATATATATATATATATATATATATATATATATATATATATATATATATATATATATATATATATATATATATATATATATATATATATATATATATATATATATATATATATATATATATATATATATATATATATAATGATGATGATGATCAAAGAGGTAAAATTAATACGGTTTTGCAGTGGTATAAGGTTTCAATGCAGTGAAGAGAGGCTGACCAAGGTTAGCATTTCAACATCTAGGTCAGTAAGTGAGTGAGAAAAATAGTGTAAATGGGAAATGAAATTCATACCTAAGGATGTCAACTTGAATCCATTAGTGGGGATCCCCGCGGAAATTTCCCATTTAGGGCCCAAAGATGGAAAATTCAACCCCCCTCCCCCCCCCCCCCCCCCCCCCCCCCGCAGGGACGGAATGGGGAATAAAGTTCCTCCGAAGACACTTTGGAAATGGAGATGGCGAACATATCCCCCATCCTATAGTGTCCCCTCCACGCACTAGAATATCGTTAATTAATATATAATTTAATATTTTGTATAGGTTTATTTGTCATTTCCAATAATTTGTTTTATAAACAAATGTAAAACACATAGATAATGTTAGTAAAAGAGATATCTAAACTATTATTTTAAATTTTTTTAAGTTTGAAAATTTGGTGCTCATGAATCTCAAGATTAAATATTGTTAAAATAATATATTTATCTTAGGTGATTAGTTATAATTTCTTGTGGTTAATTTTTGAATTTTTTCTATTGATTTAGTTAAAAATAATAAATAAATATTTACGTTTATAGATCTCCACAGAAACCGTGGGGATGGGTATGGGCAACAAAATCCTCCCGTGGCGGGGATCCGAGTCAGGGATGAGGAATAAATTCTAGGACAGAGATTGAGTTGGGAATGTATCCCCCGCCCCTCCCCACATCATTGACATCTCTATTCATACCTTGAAAATGGCGCGCTAACTCCTTTAAATATGATAGTTAGTTTGCAACTAAAAAGCGAGAGTGAGTGATGATGTGGATGGTCATTAGATGGATCTGGACGATAAGGGTGAGTTTTACGAGCGAGGTGATCTAGGTGGCACGAGATACATAATCTCCTTATTTTTATCTTGTTTTTCCCATTTCTGTGTGTTGGGCATGCATACTTTTTTAGCCTTTCGGTTGGTCCGAAATAGTTGCCATCAAGCCCTTGTCTTCTGTTGTAAATAGCAAGGATTTGCAACGAATGACTTCACTAGTCCATGGTGTCATAATGTGGAGGCATATGATGGAATGTGGCGTTTCGAGGGGCTAAGGATGATTGACATGTGTTCCCTTTTTAGTTAATAATCATGATTTGCCTGTGTTAAAGGTACTCGAGTGTTTTTCAAACAGTTTCACGTAAGCACTTAATCACTTTACAAATATCATGAATGATCTAATGATGAACACAAGGTATTCGATTGTTTTTATTGTATACTTTACGAGGTATGTTTATACAACAATTCAATTCTTGAATTCTAAAATTAACAAGTTTCTCAAATTTTAATCATCACTAAAGCTCGATTAGATACCAATTCCAACAAAACCTAATCTTAAGAAATAAATTGCTACCAATTGAATAAATGATAAACTACTGCAAGAATTAAAAAGCTAAGCATACAATATACTTTAAAATTAAATGCAAAAGTAAGAGAGAGAGAGAGAGAGAGAGAGAGAGAGAGAGAGAGAGAGAGAGAGAGAGAGGGAGGGAGGGAGAAGACACCAAGATTTATAATGCTTCGACTCTTTCATCATCGCGTGAGTCTACATGCACTCTTCAATAGTTTCCCATCGGAACCTGTATTTTTCCTTTTATTTTGACAAATATTCCAAGAGTCCATACAATTAATAGTCCACAATAATGTTGAAGAAAATAAATATTCTACATGGATCTTGACTTGTATATAACACAATTCCAAACTCTTATGCATAATCTTTACTCGATTGACGCTTCAAAATATTCCAATATCACCAATATGCTCCAAGACTTCATGTGTAATAATAAACTCCTTGATCCTACTGATTCCTTGGGCGGAGAATTATATGAATATCTGATAAGAACTTCACCTTATTCATAGCATTCCACACAGTCAATACTAAAGCAATCTGGAGAGAAGAACCTCCTTTTTTCACACTGGAGTTTGTCAACACCAATGACAACACCTCAATCTCACAAGAACCTGAAAGTCTTTACCCAATCTTCAAGAATGATTTGTTTCAAGAAAGTGTCTCCTTTAATCAGTTATAAATCTTTTATTATCAAGATCTGAAATAAAAAATAAGATTAAAGAAGAAATAAATGTGAATGCAAGGGTTTTGAACTTTTAGAAAGTGAGAGAGTGTTGATTTCACAGAAAATCACAAAAATGATTATAAAATTCATTACATGAAAACTGTTGACAAAAGGTATTATATATGCTTGATATTAAGCACAAAAATGAGTGGTAAAAGTTGGTTAGATTCGAATCAAG